TCACGGCACCGTGGCATTTTACTTGATATTAGATCAAGAATGGGAGGAGCAGAGCGCACGCACAAGGAAACAAATGACGGGGCAGGGAAGAAAGGAGATGGAGTGTATGTATTTACAGCGCAAAATTAAACAGGTGCGATCATACTAACACTAATGCACCGGATCCCATCAGAATTCCGCAGTTAAGTGTGTTTGGGTGAGAGTAGTACTTAGATGGGTGACCTCCTGGGAAGTCCTCGTGTCGCACTAATTTTTTTTCAAACGGGTCGTTCGACGTTACGCGCGACTGGAACTATGGTCCGCTGGTTTATACGCAAATGTGAGTCAAGATGCAGGGGCATTTTAATCGATATTAGAACAAGAAGGAGAGGTGCAGTGTGAACGCAGAAGGAAACAAATGATGGGAGGGGGGAGAGCATGAATAGGCCAAATGGTTTTTCTTGGCAACATAAGGGGAGATAAAACTGGTTGCCAAGGCGGAGGTACCAGGAATTTCAGCTGGAACCAGGACTTGGGGCTTACCCATAGATATTCTTTTCCCAACTACATTAGCATAAAACAGGCCAGAAATGGCTGGCACAAAAACATCACTCTCAGAACATAAGTAGAAGTCAATAACCTTCTCAAATTCAGAATTCTCTGATTCAAGGTACTTTGCCTTCTTATCTGCTGGGATGATGCTTTCCTGCATTGTTTACAGAGGCAACAAAGATTTAGACCAAAAGCAATTCTTTGAAATATCCAAGTTTGAGTTTCAGCAGATAACAAGATTCAGATATGCAAGAATTAGGATACTCAGCATAATATTTATACATCACTATGGGAACGACTTGAAAACTTCAAGTTCAAAATGAGTTTATCAAAACTGAGCTTCTGCAAATCTTTTTTAGATTATGCAGCAAAAAAGTGTACTTATAGCAGATGAGTTGTAAGGAGTAAAAGATGAACTTACTTTTGTGTATGTCCTAGGAAAAATATCCTTCAGAATATCAAGGCTGCTATCCCACCTAGACTGAGTCAAGTAAATTGTGGTGTCCTTATCAAATCCAATCTTCCTCAAAAACACTGCAATCTCTTGTGCACTATAACAACTTTTTGTGCCAGCAGCACCACTTTCATGGCAGTTCTTCTTCTCTAGTATCTCAACCCTCAAGTCCACTGCAACGAATCGGCCATCTGATTTTCGGCTTAAAGTTCTTAGGCGCTCAACCATTGAATTAACAACATCTTTGACCTCACTTTGCAACTCTAAGGTACCAAACATCGCCAAACAGGCAATTGAATCAGAATTACTTTTTTGTGCACTTTTTCTCATGTTCACTGATGGAAAATAAGTTGCCACTCTTATGTTGCCTTTTGCTTTGAAAATTGGTTCAACATTTTCTGAAATGTGATCTTCTGTAACTCGATTAGGGACCTTCACAACAGCAAGATCCCGTATCGATATTTCATCAGGTAAATCTTTTACCACTTTTATCACACCATCCAGGCTTTTGATGAACTTGTCAACATCATAAATATCCTCAAACCTCCTGTAAGTTTCAAATATGTTTAGCACCCTCAGTAGTTTTGCTAAGGGATTAACAAATTCAAAGAAAGAAGCAGGTTTTGAAAACAAAAGATCTCCTTAAATTGGTCAAGAATGATAAGATTGCCAACAAAGTAAGAAAAAGAAAAATGTGCATAAAAGGATCATAAAAATGAACACAAGATTGATTTGTGATTGAAGGGGTAAGCCTTCTAGCAGAAAATATTAAGCAGTAAATATAGAAATACGTGGAAATGAAATAAAAAAAACTGATAATTTTGACAACAAGAAGTTCCAATTTTGAAGTCAATCATTTGTAATATTTTCCTCCATATCAGCAATAAATAGGACATATTTGACCATTGACAGTTAAGCATCAATAGTTATTAATTGAAAAAATCAGGGTCCAAAAAAAAACCCCTATGTAAGAGCGTTGGAGATCTGACCATAATCCTATCAGCTCCCTCACCAGCATACCCTCACCAGCATACAGATAATTTATAGGGGTTTGAGGAGGCATGGGAATTTCATATTACTTAACATGACAACTAACCTCTCATCACCAGGTTTGCTTCCTCTGATGTCAGGCAGTACAAGAGTTGCTCCAAGATATCTTGCCAATACCACTGCATCAGTGATCTGCACACCCCAATCACAAGTAAATCTACGACAGTTTGAAGTAATAGAAGAATAGGTCTTCCAAGTACGTCTGAAGAATGGAAATCATTAATAAAATTCTTCACTCATAAGATGGAGGGAGATCATGCATTAATGAAATAGAACATAGATCAAGAGCTTATAAAGTAATTACAAATTTTATGTACAGAAATTGGAAGATACGGATCAAACAAGAGCTGGCCCAGTAACCACAAGTGAAAACAAACTTAATAGAACCCCAGTTGAATTGTTCTTAGAAAGAAGAATTAACAAAAAAATATATATTTCTACTAAGAGAATACAGAATACGTCATATTTATGGTGCACACACCATGATACCAAAGTCAGAATGAAACTAATAAATTCTAATAGAAAATTTTTGGGATTCTCAAATGGAAATTACTGAAGTGAGAATAGCTACTATGAGAAGCGACACATCTAGCAAGTACCTCCTAATTTCATTTCCTTTAGGGCAGCACATTTCCCACACTACTTTTAACAGTTCCCTTTCA